TTAACTTGTTACACTGGAACCTCAGGTTAACTTGTTACACTAGAACCTCAGGTTAACTTGTTACACTGGAACCTCAAGTTAACTTGTTACACTTGAACATCAGGTTGACTTGTTACACTGGAACCTCAAGTTAACTTGTTACACTCAAGTTAATTTGTTACACTCAAGTTAACTAGTTACACTAGAATGTCAATTTAACTTGTTACACTGGAACATCAGGCTGACTTGTTATTCTGGAACCTGAGGTTAACTTTTTACACTGGAACCTCATGCTAACTTGTTACACTATAACCTCAAGTTAACTCATTACACTGGAAAATTAGGTTAACTTGTTACACTGGAACCTCAAGCTAACTTGTTGCACTTGAACCTCAGGTTAACTTGTTACACTAGAACCTCCAGTTAACTTGTTACACAGGAACCTAAGGTTAGCTTGTTACACTGGAACCTCCAGTTAACTTGTTACACTGGAACCTCAAGTTAACTTGTTACACTGGAACCTCAGGTTAACTTTTTACCCTAGAACATCAGGTTAACTGGTTACACTAAACCTCAGGTTAGCTTGTTACATTAAAACCTCAGGTTAACTAATCACACCGGAACTTCAAGTTAACTTGTTACATTGAAACCAGTATCCTCATTGTCCATTGTGGTGTGGAACTTGACTGGGTTGATTGCCGGGTAGTATAACTGGTAGAGCATTTGTCTAGAGTCCAGAGGTCCCAGTGTCAAATCTCTGTCTGGACGCGCATTTTTCGTTTTCTGTTACTTTAGCTTAATATCATGTCATTACTTAACAAGCTGAGTAAGATAACGTCTGTTACACTGTGCAGATTTACTGTTGTTGGACCAGTTACGTCAGTACTAATCAGGTTGATCCACATTGACCATGCATGTTAACACCACAGACAAATTAACAAAATGGACGAGTAAACAAAATGCAACCAACCTGGCAGCCGTTCGATACATGTTTTTGTGTTTAACCCTTTCACCCCTATGTAACTTTAGTAGACAATACTATTGCTTTGATATGGACTAGTCCATTTTGGTCTACAGTGGTGAAAGGGTGTTAATAGTAATAAAACAATCATTAACTGAACGTGAACTTGCCAGTTGTTTTTGTTTACGATGTTCTCGTTAATTTCTCTGTGAAGTTTTGTTTGATGTTTGTTATGATTTACTTTCAGTTGTTTTCAAGCTTTGTAGAATCTTCATGCATGACAACTAACCCGGATCAGAGACAGTGTAAGGCATTTCAGTCTACCTCAAGAAGGCAGCACACCAAAATCTCAACAAAAGTTACAATTAGTTCATTTTGGGAAACGCTTTCATTGAACTTGTGCACGATCTATTCCACACAGATGTATGGTATGTCATGGGTCAGCACAAATTTAGATTAAATCACTGTTACAGATTATCCCTTTCACCCCTATGTAACTTTAGTAGACTCAACCATGCAGTTATCTGGACGAGTCCACTATGGTCTACAGTGTTGAAATGGTTATATTAAGCTCGGATTACTAGAAGGGACACAACTCTAAAGTAATCACAACATTGTAACAGTTGTGTACGTCATATCAGGTGAGGAGATGCTCTCTGTTGCTTTTATTTACAAGAATGTGTGAGTACCAAAAGGACTGTGCATTTAATAATACTGTATACCGGGAAATATTCGCCACAGTTTCACTTTCGCCCTTTTTCGCCTTTCTTAATTTGGGCCAATTTATAATGACAGTGAATATAAGTTCATAGCATACGATATATATACAGTGTTCGAGAAGGGAGAAATTGACCCTGGACGAATACAGATTTTCACAGTGATTGGTCTAGGCACAAGTTTCCAGGTATACAGTAAACTGCATGGAGCTACACAGAAAACAATTACTAAAGTTGCCTTCTGGATCAATTTAAATGCATGATGAATTTAATTTGAACATGAATATAGGACCTAGCAGCATGGTTAGGTAGCATGATACTGCTGATACAGCTCGGTGAGAATGTGAACGGTTCAGGATTTAGCATATATAGTTAGTAGCATGGTACTGCTGAAACAGCTCGGCGAGAATGTGAACGGTTCAGGCTTTAGCATATATATTTAGGTAGCATGGTACTGCTGAAACAGCTCGGCGAGAATGTGAATGGATCATATAGTTAGGTAGCATGGTAATGCTGAAACAGCTCGGCGAGAATGTGAACGGTTCAGGCTTCTACTGATTCATTACTTTACCACATCAGTTTTCAATCTCATCATTCATTTTATCATAATATTCATCAAAGTTCTATTCTGGACAACGTGGCCTAAGTTGACCTGATCGCCCCCAAATTCTGTACCTTCCGTTGTTATATTTTTATTTGTTTCTGTTTATCCTTTTCTTTATATTCATTATTCGATCATCATGAAGAATTCAGGTTCTAAGTCCTATATATATATGGTGTCTGATGTAAACAAACTATTTCTCTGAACGATATACACTTTTTCATGGCTATAAGGTAGAAATTACGGATGAGTAGTGATGTAATAGTAATTGTCTGTGAAGTCACGTTACAATAACAACTGACATATCATAACAACCTGATAGAATGGAAAGAGCAATGATAAAAAAAAAAAAAAATCCCCGTAGTGTCCAGGAAATGAATAGCATTTAGGCTAGTTTCATACGATCATTTGATAGTCTTATGAAATTTGTTTGGGGATCCCATGAAAGAGTCTAGTTGCTCGCTGGTATGGGTCCAAATGAAAAATTAATCTTCAATGTATCTCCACAGTATGAAAGTAGTGTAGGACTGGGTCTTCAAAATTGATGTTTGCAGTTGGTCCACGAAAAGGATAGCAGAGTTTGGATGGTACGAAGAATATTTTTGATGTGGATGGGCTGGGGTTGGCCAATATAGTATAGGGCTGTACGGAACATATGGAGAACCTCTGTGCTTGTCCCTTAGGGATCTGTCATTTTCTGTACAGCGCTATACTTTATGGCCAACCCCAGCCCATCCACATCAGAAATATTCCTCTGGGCCTCTTGGACTTGCTGCTGAGTGTTTATTGGTTGTGTACATTTTTGTGTCGCCTGCAACGCGAGGCGACATATAGGTGTTACTCTGTCGGCGGCGTCGATTGCGTCGTCCGAAACACGGTTTCCATGCAATAATTTGAGTTCCCTTGAGTTGATTGGTACATATATTGCATACTAAGGCCATAATAAATTAATTGCTAGATTCTCATCCAAATTCTTTTCAAAATTGGGGCGGGGGGGCGAATTTTATTTTTTATTTTTTATTTTTCCTAAAATTGAAATGGTTGCAAATGTGTTAAAATAGTGCAATAAAGGCGCATGTTCAGTGTACATTTATCTTTATTTTTTGTTAATAACAACTTTGAGTATGCAGTATACACATTGAACACCATTTCACTGTTCAGTCCACATATATATCTGTACTAACTTTTGGTATGAATACACACCACATTACTTTTTCACATACCGTCCTCTTTTAATTACAGTGACCTTGCCATTGGCCAAACAGTTCTGGCATATGGGGTAGTTTTCCTCAGATGTAGCCACATTGTCATCTGTGCCACAATGGAAGCAGCATACTGCTTTGAAACCAGCAGAGAAATAGGCCAGTTCAACTGGCCCATCACATGTCAGATTTTTTCTTACAAACACTGATTTTAACACATTTTCTTGTTCGGTTTCTACATCAGCAAAATCAGAACCACACGTGTACGACAAATCGCCCAACATAGTTTGCAATTCCTTTCTTTTCTTTCCTCTTACAACATGCTTGCAGTAGAGAACACGAGGCTTGTCACATTCAGAACAGTATATCACCATTTCAACATTTT